TGGGCAGCCGTGGGTAGGGTCGGCGGAGGGGAGAATGAGGCAATATGGCACCTGCCCCACGGCTCAGGTCTGTGCACATGGAGGTGCCCCGAGGGATTTGGGAGCCTGGTGCCGCATCCACTATGGCTTACAGCTCACTGGCGGTGGCTGTCTCTAAGCTGGTGTCCACAGGTCTCTCCACCCGCTGGGGAGCCCACCAGCAGTCTGAGATGCAGAGGAGGGGAAACTTGACTGATCCACCAACCCTTCCCGCTGGACTTCGGGGTGCTCAGGCAGTCTTAGCTTCCAGTTCTCCTCTGCAACCTCCTCCTCTGGAGTCTCCCGTGGTCTCAGGTACCCCTCCTTCCAACCCTCATCTGCTGTATGCTCATCTTCTTGCTTCTTTCTTCTAATTTCTGCTAGAATCTGTCTTTTCTGCAGAGACACTCTGGCGGTGTTTCTCATCCGCAATCTTCCAATTCTCAGTTCTTGATATGCTTATATTTAGGGCCAGGTTTGTCTCTCACCACTCTTAGCCCATTTAGATGGATCTGAATCAGGAATTAGTGGCGAGGTAGAACGGAAGGAGAAGGATCTTGGATTCCAGGGCAAGGGGTTAGGTAAGGACCTAGACCCTAGTCTTAAATTTAGGAGCTCCCCTCTCTTTTTGAAACTTAATATTTTGCTGCATAACCCCTTCTTCTTCAGTATCTTGGTTGATAGGGGAGATTAGTAAGGAGTGGTGGAAACATCATGGAAATAGAAGTCAGGAGGCCTAACTTTGGCGCTTGGCTCCTGGTAAACACAAGACCAATCTGAGTTCAACCGTATGACTTCTAGGTTCCCTCTAAGGGGGGAAGGAATGGTAGAGTGGAAGGAGAACTACAGTCAGACAGATCTGCCTTGGGACCCTGGCTCCAACACTCGCTAGCTAAATAATGATGGGAGAGTATCTTCCTTTGTCCGAGTCATAAATTTTCTACCTTTAAAATGAGAATAACAATCCCTAATTACAGACTGCTTATAACAGTCTAGAGAGATGATGTCCATAATGCACTTATCACAGCATCTGGCCCAAGGTAAGAGCTTGGCAGATGTGGAGTTTGTTTCCTCCCTTTCTAGGTTTAGACACGGCTTCCTGATTTTACCTGCTTGTGGTAGGCAGAACTCCAAAGCTGCTCCAAAGAATCAACAAGTGGGCCAGGCCCAATCAATTGGATCCTTTCAAAGCAGAGTTTTCTTCTGATTGGCAGAGAAGAAGAGGTCAGAGAGATTCAAACTGTGAGAAGGATCCAATGGGTAACTTTGAAGATGACTGAGGCCAAGTGCTAAGGAATGAGGGTGACCCCTAGAAGGGACAGCCAGAAAGGGAGCCTCAGTCCTACAACTTTAAGGAAATGATTCTGCTAATAACCAGTGGTCTTAGAAGAAGACACTGTGTCCAAAATGAGAACTAAATCTTTGGCTGACACTTTAACCTCAGCCTGGTGAGAACCTGAGCAAAGAACCCAGATGCACCATGCCAGACGTCTTATCTACAGACAATTTGTTACACAGCAACACATAGACAATACAGAGCTTCATGTGGCTTCGTACTCTAAACTGGGTATCTCTCCAGTGGAAGCTGACCAGAGAGGCATGATCCTTTTGGATACTACTGAGTCTTAGAATTATAGAACTTTAGAATTGCAAGTACCATGTTTTTCATGAGCACCACCCTAATTTCACAGGTTTATAAAAATGAGGTCAGATAGGACAATACAGTGAATTAGGGGCAGGTCTGGAACTTACAATCCAGGACTCAATTCAGAAGACACAGGTCTTCCCTGAAGACCGGCCACTGAGAATTTTAGTACTTTCCAGCTATAACTTTTAACCTTTATGTCACCCTTAATGCACCCTCCAAGTATGGCTTGAGGCTAAGAAGAGTATATGGCTCCTAATTTGGAGCATACATCAAAATCATCTGTGCATCTTCCAAAACATGTAGACTCTTGACTGAATCAGAATCTCTAGAAAGAGAGGCCTAAGGACCCCACTTTTTAAAAAGAACCACAGGCAATCCTGAAGCAGGCAGTTGGGCCCCAGGAAACATGTGAGTCTGATTTGGCTGATTGAGGACTGACTTTGCCAATTAGTTAAATCTGTGGCATTAAGTTTATTTAAAAAAATATATAAATTATGCAATAAGATAAAAGCATTTTATAAAAAATATATTTCACAAAATAGGCTGGGCACAGTGGCTCACGCTTGTGATACTAGCACTTTGGGAAACTAATGTGGGAGGATTGCTTGAGGCCAAACATTTCAGAAGAGCCTGGGCAACATAGGGAGACCCCATCTCTACATAAAATTTTAAAAAATCAGCCGAGTGTGGTGGCATGGGTCTGTGGTCCCCGCTACTCAGGAGGCTGAGGCAGGAGGACCACCGAAGCTCAGGAGTTTGAGGTTGCAGTGTGCACCACGGTCACCAGCATGGTCGCCATGCTGTGCAGTACGTCTCAGAAACTGATCTCTCCTGTCTAACTGAAACTTGGCACCTTGGACCAACATCTCCCCTTTCCCCATACACCATCCCCAGCCTCTGGTACTCACTGTTCTACTCTCTACTTCTGTAAGTTCAACTTTTTTAGAGTCCACATAAAAGTGAGATCATGTGCTATTTGTCTTTCTGTGCCCGGCTTATTTCACTTAGTATAATAGCCTTCAGGTTTGCCCATGTTGTTGCAAATGACAGAATTACCTTCTTTTTAGAGGCTGAATAGTATTCCATCATCAATATATACCACATTTGTATCCATTCACTTGCTGCTGGACACTCAGGTTGATTCCATATCCTTGCTATTGTGAATAATGCTACAATGAACACACGAGTGCAGATGTGTCTTTGACATGCTGATTTCATTTCTTTTGGGTAAATATCCAGATGGAGGATGGCTGAATTATATGGCAATTCTAATTTTAGTTTTGTGGAGGAATCTCTATACTGTTCTCCAAAATGGCTGTACTAATTTATATTACCACCAATGGTGTACAAGCATTCCCTTTTCTCCATTTTCTTGCCAACACATGTCATTTTTTATCTTTTTGATAACACCCATTCTAACAGGTGTGAGGTGGTATCTCATCGTGATTTTAATTTGCATTTCTCTGATGATTAGTGATGTTGGGCATTCCACTCGAGATATACTCTGGGCTCTGATGGACACAGTAATGAGCAAACAGTCCGTGATACACAGACCCAGCATTCTCCAGCTCCACTGAGATTCTTTGCCTGTGCTCATCCCTGAGGCCTCTGAGTTCATTCCTGAGCACAGCAGGTGAGCAGACGCTGCCAACCATAGGACACACTCTGGACATTTCCAAGGGACTCTGTGGTCCACTGGTGCCTGGGACAGATTGATTCTGTTCCAGTCATGCATGAATGCCATCCCCGATCAAGGATTGAGGGTTCCAATGAGATGGACACACACTAGGTACTTATCAGAGTTGGCAGGGGTCCTGACCTGCCATTTTTCCTCAAATTTGGAAGTACTCTTTGACATCCTTAGTCCATCACCTTCACCTTACAAATGGGAAACTGAGCCCCTGAGAGCAACATCCCTCCACCCTACCCTGTCCCAACCAGGAGCACACATTCAACCAGGGGTAAAGTCGGATCACTCTACTGCCAGTCATGCTCTTCCCACAGGATGCAGACCGGAGATGACTTGTGAGTAACGTGGTCTGCACCATAAGGATGCATAGGGCTGGGATAGGCTTCCCAGGGGAACACAGGAACTCTTACAGAGGTACAGAGACAGGAGCAAATGTCAATGGGAGATGCCACGCATGGGGACAAGTTGTCCAGAAGCGCATTTTGCAAAACTGCCAAATTAGCAGTGTTTCCAGAGTCTTCTTCACGACCCTGCCCTTATCCTCTTCTTTTCAGAACTTCTAACCTTTTCTCCCAATCTCCTTCTGCACCAGAATCAGCACCAATAGATGACATCTTCTCCTCCTTCTCTTCCTCCTCCTCCCCCTAACCCCCTTACTTTGAGACAGAGTCTCACTCTGTCGCCCAGGCTGGAGTGCAGTGGTGCCAATCATAACTCACTGCAGCCTGGAATTCCTGGGCTCAAGCGATCCTCCCACCTCAGCCCCCCAAGTAGCTGAGCACACACCAGATTTTAAAATTTTTTATAGCAACAAAGTCTAATTCTGCTGCCCTGGTTGGAATACACTTCTTTTTTAATAGCAAGACATTTGACACAACTTTATTGTAATCATTCAGAAATTTTAGTTCTAGAATAGTACTGATTTTCTTTCATATCATGTCCATTACTTTAAAAACATTATGTCTTGTGTGTTTGAGGTTATTTTCTAACAATTGCATTAAACCTCATTTTCTCAGTAATTATTTGGACTTGATTGTATATTTTTCAAACAGCTATACTAGGGTACAATTGACATATAAAATTTAATTCTTTTAAGGCATACGACTTGGTGTTTTCAAACTCATATACATTGTGAAATGATCACCACATTGCAGCTAATTAACATATCTATCACCTCTATATAGTTACCATGTTTGTGAGCATGTTTGTATGTGTCAAGAAGATTTATTTTAAGATCTATGCCCTCAGTAAATTTCAAGTATACAATACAGTATTGTTAACTATCCTCACCATGCCATAGATTATATCTATAGAACGTATTCACCTTGCAAACTTTGTACCCTTTGACCAACATCACCCCAATTCCCCTGCCCCGGCAAACACCATCCTACCTACTGGGTCTACAAGTCAAAGGTTTAGACCATACAAAAACTGGATCTGCTCTGGCTCGATTCTGAAACACCTCATGGCAATTTTGCCAGGGTAACAGTGTCACCAGAGTTCTTAATGTGAAGGATTTTCATATGACTCTCTCCCTTTTTTGGTGTCACCAGAAAACCCAATGACCTCTTCTTCTCTGAGAACTGCGTATAGGGAGATGCGAATATCTGCATATGGTAGGCATGAATTATTCAGCCTCAGAGAGACCAGACCTCACAGAGCACTTTATTAGGGGGAACTGGAGGCTTCAAAGGGATAAATGGGGGCCATGAAAGTTGAAGAGATAGGGTCTCACACTGAGAAGAGGTCAAAGGGGGTAGGGCATTATGTTTGAAGAGAAGCCAAGCTGAAGGAAACGGAGTAAGCAAATCCTGGTTTTGGACCTGCCAAGGTTTTGGAGGCTGAGATTTGGCTGGTGGCAGCCGACATGGAACATCTGTAAGGCACACACGGAGAGAGCCCTGGACCACGACGAGCTGAACCCTGGAGGTCCTGTGGCTCCTGGTTATCTCATCCAGAGGGATCAGTCTGTGAGACAGAAGAATAAAGAGTGAGATGCTTGAATCCCAGCCACCTTAGGAACCAAATCTTGCAGGTAATGGAAAAAAGGAGGTGGGATCATTTTTACGTCTTTTGGCAAGAAAAATAAAAACAGTAGTGAGGCGAGTTTGGGGGCTCATGGAGCGATCATGAGTTCTGATTTATTCAGTGGGGTCCAGTTTTTGCCTGTAGACCTGTGTAAGAATTAATGGCACCCCACTTTGAAACACTCTCAAAAGTGCCTTGGTTTGGCCAATAAAGTATGTCATTGCCTTAGCTATATATGAACTTAAAAAGGAAGAAAAGTGGAGACAAAGTCTGGTGAGTAGGAAAGGCCTGTCATGATCGGCAGGGGAAGGGTGTCCAAGTGCAGGGCTGCCCTACTGACCTCCTTCTGACTTGGCCTGGGGTGCCCCACTGCTCTGTTTGTGCACCCTCTTCTCTCTGTCCCCCTTTTCCCCTCATACTTGCCAATTTCCCTCTGACTACTGCCTCCATTCCCACCCTCGCTTTCCCAAAATGTCCTTCTACTTACACCTCTGCAAGGTGCGTTCAGACCTCCTGATCGGAGCTGGCTCTGTCCACCCCCCCACAAGCCTATCAAGACCTTGGAACAGACCAGCCAACACCCAGACCTCTCCATGTGGCCTTGGTGAGCACAGGAGACTGGGGCCCTGGGACTTACTGTTTTTATGGCAGGTGCCCATGCACATAGATTCAGTTTCGAAGTTGTTATTGTTCCCCCAACAACCGCTGTAGATGAATTTGGAACAGTTCTTGGTTTCTTTATTATACCACCAGCGTGTAACGGGGGTCAGGCAGGGGCCATCTACCGGTAACAAACTGCATATGTCTGCAGAGAGAAAGCAGAGCACAGTGGTGTGGGTACCTGTCTCCCTGGAGAACGTTCATCTTTTTCTTCCTCGGGCCACTGCTCTCTTTGTCTCCCCTGAGAGGCCAATGTGGCTCAGGCCTGTGCTCCCAATTCAGTGTGAACCTTGACCACTCACTTTACCTGATCCTTGACTTCCTCATCTGTGAGACAAGAATACAAAATCCCACCCTGCTTGTCTTGCAGGGCAGCTGTGAGGGACAGCCGTGACACCACGTGGCCTCTCATACTGTGCCTCCCCAACATCTGAACACTAAATATCGCTGATTTTGCCCCGTAAATGCTCTCCTTTGTTTCCTTCCTGCCACTTGCTTAACTCAGGAACCATTATATTTTGCCAGGACTGCCAGGAAAGGCCCCCAGCTGATCTCCAAGGCTTCCCCAATTGGCTCCACATTGGTTTCAAGAGTGACTGATCCATTGGGCTGAAAATAAAGTTCTATAAAAACCAAGAAGGACTTCAGAATCCATTTCCTCCTCCTCCTCCTCCTCCTCCTCTCTGGCTTTATGTCTCCTATTGCTCCAACACCCACCCTTTGGAACTTCATGCTCTAAGAATAATCACATTCTCACACACCTCCATGCCTTTGCACATGCCTGAGGTCTCCATTCCTCTCTTGCTAACTGGGGGCACTCCTGCTCATTCTTCAAAACCTTCCCAGACATCAACTCGT